ATACGAACCCTGTTATTTTCAAAGGCGACGCACTTTTCCCGGTTTGAATCATTTCGAGCTTTAGCCTTTAGTCAGAATTCGAACGAACAGCGAACGCTTCCGTTACCGACAGGAAGTAATGCAGAACCAAAGCAAATACGAATTTCTTTTGACACTCAAGCGAAAAGCACTCTAAGACTTTCGAACAAGTTAGGGTCGTGACCTCTCTCTAACGAGCACGATTTCACCTGTCCATTTTTTCATCGGAGAATTTCTGAACTTTAACTAAACAAATCAATCACCTTGTCTTTCGGTTTTGGTAGTGGTTGAGCCTGTCCTTCTCCACCGGAATCTTTTATTGTGCTGCCACTGGAACTTCTGCAATACACAACACAATTTAGCCAACCTCGCCACTTAAAATCTACGATGGCTATGCTCTCAAAACAATCTAATAACAGTATCTTTAAGCAAAGAGTCAATTAAGAGTAGTCCTTGGATAAAAGAAGAGCTTTTAGCTGGATTATTTATTGCGCAGTCGCTGAAAGTCATTCAAATAAAGGCAACGTTCTCTGGTTTCTTCTATGTTTTGGAGGACAGTGTAACAATATCACGAGATCATTCAATACCATGGAACCCTAAAGAAAGCAAATTGACCGTTATAACTATTGCCACAGAAAACACGGCAATACAGCCTCACACATTACCTTGACAGCGATCCGACTTCATCCTTTAATGAATCCAGGCTGGTCTAAATAGCGAACAAATGCACAGTGTTTAGTTCCACTACTATACTCTCTCTCTCTCCGTATTACAAAAAGAAAAACTATGACAGCAAAGTTCACAGATGTTGATATATACAAACTTAAATGAGTCTTCAAATATAACCGATGCTAGGAATAAGTTCAAAATCAAGTTGTGTCTCACGTAAACCGCGTCTCGTAACCTTTCTCGACCACAAATATCGCAGCAGTTTAGACTGTGTCAATTGCATTCGTTGGATAAACAAAACTAATCACGGATTCCAAGAACAGAATTTTCATCAAGTTGAGGCAGCGTGACCGAGTGGTTATGGCGCCGAACGTGAAATCCAGAGGTCGCGGATTCAAGTTCAGCTCTGACCACTAAGCCGGAGATGTTCGTCGGTAGACCCTAGTTCAACTCTTCAGTCATCCTTGTAAAAAGCAACCCACTACGTTTATTTGAAATATATATCTCTTTCAGTTTAAAGTGGCATGCCTGAGAACTAGGCAGGTGTAGCTAAGTGCATTAACTACTATTACCATTCACTAGACCAAGATTTCTCAATTCCCTTTTTGTGTGATGGCCCACATTACCACTAAATCGAACGAAACCTTGACATGTTATAGCCAACTTCGCTAAAAAAAGTACCAATTAAGTAAAGCCTGGTTCACACACGCGAGATAAGCATAACACTAGCGAAATAAGCACAAGCATAAGCACAAGAAAAAGAAACATGTTCCTTTCTTCTTTTGCTTGCGCTTATGTTTATTTCACTAGTGTTATGCTTATCTCACAAGTGGGAACCAGGCTTAAACGGATAGTTTCAAGGTTCGACGCACGTGAAAGCTGTGACAGAGCCCCACCCAATTCCATTGTTTATAAATCAATCAGATGCGAGTACATTACTCGTTCGTCTGGTCCAGAATTAACGGTTCAGCCCGAATAACAAATTCGATGTTCAATTCTAAATTCGCCATTTTCTGTCTAAATCCGTTTACGTCATCCGTAAAAATTTAGACACCAGTCATTCTGCTAGCCTTCGTGTAGCCGTGTAGCTACTCAAACGCTATCATTACGCTTTCACAAAATTATAGCCTGTGATTTCTGAAATACACCTTGTTGATACGAAAACGAAAATGTACTTTATGCATAAAGTCGGAACATACGAAAGGAATTCTAATGAAAACTCTCATCTATATCGTCAGGTTTTCGCGACTGACCGTGAAATTTTCAAAGGCAAATTTCCCGCAAGAGTCATTTGCACGCTTCCGATTGTTTAATAAACAATGGAATTGAATGATTAACTTTGTAGCTTGCGCATGCACCGAACCGTGAAACCCGGCTCCCTTTAACAAAAAACCAAAACATTGCAGAGTGCAGACGCTTAAGAATAAGGGAAAAGAGAAAGATGGCTTACGACATCACACAAAGAAACAAAATAACGCAGTTTTCATACCAAAGATCCCTTTAGTCGATCTCTAAGCTCTGATTCACTAAGTTCCGAGTCCGTTGCCATAGCAGCCGCGGCTAAATTCTCAATACTACTGAACGAGTCGTGGTACTGTAACACGTGCTGGAGGAGTTCCTGTTGAAGTTCATTGTGTTGTTTCATGGCATTCAATCTGGCTTCAACTTCCTTGGCCGACGCTTCTTTAGATGACGCCTCATGACCCTACAAGATGTTATCATCGTTAATTCCCTATATTCAATCCACTGTCTATTTACCCCTAGGAACCTGTATATACTGACCCCACGGGGTCCCCTGTTTATTTACCCCTCCCAGTTTCTTTCTTTTTCTTCACTGGCCAACCCTTCTTTAAAGGAGTCTTCGTAACTCTACAAGACGTTATCATTACAATCGACCTTCTATTTACCCCTGGCAACCTGTCTTTACTGACCTCTCGGGCTCCCCTATTTATTTATCCCTCCCAGTTTCTTTCTCTTTCTTCATTGGGCAACACTTCATTCAAGGACTCTTCGTAACTCTACAAGATGTTACCATTACAATCCACGTTCTACTTACCCCTGGGAACCTGTCTTTACTGACCCCATGGGCTCCCCTATTTATTTACCCCTCCCAATTTCTTTCTCTTTCTTCATTGGCCAACCCTTCTTTAAAGGAGTCTTCGTAACGCTACAAGATGTTATCATTACAATCCACCTTCTATTTACCCCTTGGAACCTGTCTTTACTGACCCCACGGGGTCCCCTGTTTATTTACCCCTCTCAGTTTCTTTCCTTGTCTTCATTGGCCAACGCTTCTTTGGAGAACTCTTCGCAATTCTACAAGATGTTATCACCACAATCTACCATCTATTTACCCTTGGGAACCTGTCTTTACTGACCTCACGGAGTCCCCTGGTCATTAACTCTTCACAGTTACTCCTTTAGAGGACGCCTCGTGACCCACGAGATGTTTTCAGCGTAAGTTCCCAACACAATCCATCATCAATTTACCCTTAGGAACCCGTCTTTATTTACCCCATGGGTCAGCTGTTTATTTTATCTCCTATAAGGCCTCCTTTTCTATACCATGTCACAAAAGCCCCCCCCCCGTCTTATGGGATGGCGTGTTCCTAGGCTTTCAACCATCGTTCCAAATGATGATTCCGTCGATTGAAGCCGAGTGTCCATGTGTGCTTCAACCTTATGTGCGCAACATAAGCAAGGCTAGCCAGGGAAACGAGTTCCGAAGGTGTCAGGTATCTGAATAACCTACCAGAGAAATCACTTTGGTTAGGAAGTGCTCCAGTAGGATCCGGGCTTCCGTTAGGGTGCAGGTGGCGAAAAATTCCCCAATCTCTGCCGTGTCTCCGCCTTGTTCCTACAAATTAGGGCCAAAAATTAAAAAGAAGTTTCACTGTAGACAGTACTAGGAGCAGCACTGTCTTGTTTGGCCCAGGCTTGTGAAGACTGGCGGTTAGATCGCGGTGGTTCCGACTGAGAATTGAAATAATCTAAGAGAAGGTATTGCCCTGGTCTAACCCCTGAAAATGGTCGGTGTGGGTGATCGTTTCCAGTTGAAATCCAGTTTCTGCTACTCTATAATACTAGTCCCTCTGAGATTAGAAGTCATTCCGTGATGACCCAAACTTTGGGTGCGAAGAGGATAAACAATGGCCCTTTTTGACGCCTAACGGCCCGATTTATCACGCGAAGTTAGAACATATGCAGAGAAAAGAATCCGTTGCAAACCCATGAAAATATGGGACCCCAAACTGGCCCTTCTTTGTAAAAAAAACAAAATTGGCAAGTTCGGCATTCCAAATTGTAATGAATTTGCAACGGATTTTTTTTATGAAACTTCGCTAATTTACTAAACTCGACATGACAAATTGATTTAGGTGTTTCTTTGTTAACATGAAAAATGCTAAAAATTGTTGATATTGCTTAACATCGTGAAGATAGTCCATAATTCAAGATAACGTTGAACCTAATCCGCAAATGTAGCCCTAATCATTTTTAATCATTTTTTATCTAGCTTTTGGCCAATTTTTCATGATCGTCAATCAAACCGCTACACGGTCGCGTTGGGAGATGGTAGATTTAAGAACTGAAAACATCATGTTTGTCGTACCTCCATTTCCATAATACTTGTTTGACAGTCTGTGATGTTCTCCTGAACATAATCCACATGAGCTGTAAGTGCTTCTAGTTGCTCCTTAAGTTCTTGAACATTGCCCTCTTCCTGTAAACGTAGACAAAGAAATGACTTACAATGGAATCCCGATTTTTCAAATCTCCCGAATATTGGGAGAATTTTATCATTGCTCCCTTAACAAATATTCAGCAGAAATTTGCTTTAATTTTTCGAGCTCCCGGTTTTTGGAACCAATTTTTGCTCCCATAGGCGGTCCACTTCGAAAACTGGGATTAACCGTACATTTGCCAATTCAAGATGCAAAACTTGAATTTTACTTCTTTTGTTGTTGTTGTTACTGTTGTTGTTGATGATATTGTTGTGGTTGTGGTAGAGGTATTCTTGATTTTGGAATAGAAGAGACATTTCCATTTCCTTTCTTCATTTTATAATCTTTTTAAAATCGTCACAAGAAAGAATGCGCTTGAGGGGTAGTTGTCAAGATGAATCGAGTCTGACTAGTTCAGACAATTCTTACCTTCTGTAGTACAGTCACATTGTCGTATTTCATCTGACACTTCTCTAGTTGTTTACTGAGGCGATCCCGGTCCTGTATCCAGCGATCCATGTCGGATTCCATGTTTGCAATCGTCTGCCTCTTGATGATCAGTGACGTGATCTGAAGAATGAGTAGCAACATTGTTTGCTAAACGTTGAACTAGAAGGACAAGTATTTGAACATCTGTATCGTACACCAGAAGAAAAAAACTACAGAAAAGCTCATTACACGGTCATGACAAGCGTTAGTTCCTGGTGGGTAGGTAGGTGGGGAGATAGAAGGATGGGCCAGCGAGGTGGATCACAAAAGGACAGACACCGAAAGCCAGAGGGAGCTTCAGAGGCTGGCGTCTGATCTCCTTCTCATTAATCTCTACAACTTACCTCGATACAATCGTGTTATGGTTATTGCCACTGAAAGAAGACGTTAATACCTCATAGAGTACTAGCAATCAAATGCGACCACTGGATTTTTATCGCAGATCGATCGCTTGGTATACTTTCACATATGTACAGACATTTTGCGGAGAAATTATGTAACAGATTGTTGGTAGTATTAGGATGGGTGGCTTTGCGTCTTCCAAAGGAACAAGATCCTACAGAATAAATGGTTAGCACGTGCGCTGTAAATCGTGCTACATTTCTCAGCCGTTCTCTACAAAACAACGGGGATTGAGCAAATTCTGCCGTTTTTCAGGAACGTGATGCCAACCACAAAAGTTGGAACTCAACAGTTTCTTAATATATTCAACTGACACGAGACACCAATTAAATACATCTAGAAATTCGCGAAATTCTATAGAAGGAGAATATAAACAAAAGTTTTAAATCGAGCTTGTTCTCGAAGTCGCCGTCGTAGCGCCGTAAACTCTTTATTGCTTACTTAGAACTACGTATTTATTCCAGGGCTTTATACCTTCTTATCAATGACATCCCATTTCTTCTTGGCACTCCGCGAGGCCTGTTCTACGGAGCTCTTCCTTCTGGGCGTTTTCACTGGCAGTCCGGTCGATCTACCAGCTGCTCCTGAAAACCTTGAGTTGGACGTCGAAGCACTGACAGACACTGAAGAGCTGGAGTAAGCCGTGTATGAGCTGCTGACATATGATGACTGTGAGCTCGCCTCCACGCCATTCACCTCCCGGACGCTCGAGATCGTTGTTTGATTTCGTTGTGTCCCAAGTTGACCAGAGACGGGTTTCTGTTGCCGCCTGAGCGCCTTAACCTACCGATTGAAACGGTAAAATGCACAAAACTACCTTGAACTCGAAAGCAAATGTGAGAGAAAAGTGAGGCTGACTCACTAAGAGCAGTAAATGAGCAAAACAATAAGCCCAGTCTCTCAGATACACCATCTGTAATACTGCTATGTCATTTTGTTGCTAGTATCTTCCGTAGGTAAAAAGATGGCGGATGCACATTTTTTCACAATACCACGCGAGCCTCACACAGCCCATAAAGTACAAGGAAAGCCATATTTTTTGCAATATTTGTCTCGGTGCAAACGACTAGGTTTGAAGGTTTTAGAACTTTTCTGTGCGTTTTCATGAGCGTTATTAAAGTCTTCGTGCGTTTACAATTATGGGTACATGTACTAGCTAGCTAGCTCCCCTCCGGTAGACCCCTGTAGCCACTGGGTAGTCACGCCACACTTCACCCAGAGGCATTGCGTGACAACTAAAAGAGCAACTACAAAGAGACTACCCCTCCCTAGGAAGCGTGGCGTTAATAATGTCAACATCTGAAAGGGGCAGAGAGAGGGGGGTGGGGGGAGGGGTGTCAGAAGAGCTAGCTTAAACGAAAAAGCAGGAGGGCAGTGGAATGGAAGGCGGGAGTAGAAATTCTGCGACATGTACCTCCTCCTGTTTCCTCTTGAGTACAATCTCGCGCTGTCGTTTTTCCATTTCAAGGTTCTTAATTGTCATCTGTCTCACACGAGATTCTTTCTTGAGCTGAGCGATCTGTTTATTCCTCTGCGCCTCTTGTTGTTTATTCTTGGCCGCCTCCTCCTTCATCTGTTTCATGAGACGGACCTTAGTTCTTTTTAACTCGCTTAGTTCTCCTTGAAACGTTCTCAGCTGCTGCTCGTTCTGTGCCTTTTGTCTGAGCAGCCTTGCGTGCTCTTTCTTGGCGGCTTGCATCTTTTTCAGCTCACCTTGCAAACGGTTTATTTTCTTCTCGTACTCGCCGCGTATTTGCCGAACCTTTTCCTCCGACTTCGAGTCTTGGTTTTTGACGCTTTCTAAAACCTTTAAAGGAAAGAAAAATTCAGAACGCGTTACTATACTGGTCAGTGACGTGACTTCGCAAGTGGAGCTAACTGTCACGCAATTGTCAATTTTTTTTCCAAAGATTACGTGACAAACCGAAAGGACGTAGGTTAAAGGGACACTGTCGCCATTTTTAGCATGGTTTTGGAGATCTCAAAAACATACATCGACCACTGGAAGCTGAACAATATTGGTTTTATTTTGTAGAGCAGCACTCAAACAATGATTAAAACCCATTAGGAGGTGAGGATGGCTAACGATGGCGAGGATGGAACCGGATTGCGATATGGATTTTTGGAAAAAGCGTCGGGATGTCAGTTTTTCAAAGGTTCAAGCTTGGCTCGAGTATCGTTGAAATTTTGCAAAAACGTCGCTGCAGTGTGGACTTTCTTCACGAAATTGCTTTTAATCATTTAGTTAGAGCTAATTAACTTATTACGTAAATTTAGGGACCATTTCGTGAATTTATAACAGTTTTAAGCAAATATATCGTGAGAGTGTCCCTTTAAATGTCGGAATTTTGACTTTCTAATGAGCATTCATTTATTTTACAACACTGATGTAAATTAAATTTGTAAATAGTGTGCAACAAAAGTTGACTGATTGATTCTCGCCTGAGTTCAACCCAGTTAATCTCCGTCAAGAGGAAAACAGGAAACAGAATTTCAACTAAGGGACTGTTGACCTGGGCCGGGTTGTTCGAAAGCCAGTATTAACCCAGGTTTAAAAATTAATTGAAGTAGAGATTTTTCTTGTAGGAAAGTGTTTTTTATTTCTTATGTTTTGAGTAGTTTGAGATTACTCAAGCTCAAAACTGAAGGACAAACAATATAAACAGCAAACCACACCGAAAAACCAACAAAACTGACATCAAAATTCTCGCTAATCCTAGGTTTCCTTAATCGGGCTTTGAACAACCCGGCCCTGGAGGAAACTTTTTCTGCAGCATCACCCTTCATTCTTTATAAATATAAGCGAGTTGCTTACATGGCAATTCATAACGTTGACTCGGGGAACGGGTAAACCTGATTCAATCGCTCAGAAGGTGCATGTAAGTTTATACTTACAGCGAGCCAATATTTTTCAGCTCGATCACAAGCCCCTATCCAGGAAACGAGACTTCCCAGGCTGGATAAAAGACAATGAACATATATGACACCTACATGGTCTCTCTCTGTCTCTGTTTCCTTGATCTTGTTGTGCAGTAAGGACAGTTTCTCTTCGTATTGAGTCTTCAGAGTCTGGATTTTTTTCTGGCTCATTTCCAGCTCATCGATGAGCTTTTCTTTAATGGATATCTCAGTTGATAAGTCTGCCAAGTCCCCTGACAAGTCTAATAACACATTAAATAACAAACAGTAGTAAAGGGAAAATGTCATGAATTGCGCATGTGCGAAAAGTTCAGGCGGAATTTTTCAAGTTTGAATTCGGCACACTCAAAATGGCGTCGACTAGTGGATCCAGTCGTGGTGTGTGAACCCGGTGTGTGAACAAGGGGAATTTGACTGCGATGAATAGCCCATGTTATTACTGTATGTGAACCCAGTGTGTGAACAGGGGGAATTTGAATGCGATGAATAGCCCATGCTATTATGTGAACCCAGTGTGTGAACAGGGGGAATTTGACTGTGATGAATAGCCCATGCTATTAAACCACAGGGAGGAAGCTGTCATAAAGGGATAATTTGGAAGGAAAAATATTTCTTTGTTGTTTTGGGTCAGTTTAGTGTGATTAGTGGCCCCCTGAAATTTGAAAACGCAACAATCACCGGTCATTTTGGATAACGTGAGTTTGAGGAAACGTCAGGCAGAGAAATCACCTGATCATCTAACGTCATCGTTGTCGAAAAGCTCCGTTTTCAAAATGTTTTCCGTTCACACTAAAACGAAAACCCGGCGTTTTCAAATTCCTCTGGTTTGAAGAGCGCTAACGAAAAGCTCCGTTTTCGTGACGGATTAGTATGGACGGTAGGCCTAACTGTACAAATAAAGATGCGTTTTCAAATTTCTTCGGCGTACATGTAGTGTGGGCCGGGCCTGTGTTTCTGAATCCACAACCGTTCTACAGGAACATCTGTGGACCGAGAAGCTTACCTTGAAGAGTTCCATCGTCATCCGAATCATCATCATCATCGTCATCAAGGTCTTCTCCTGGTCCCTCGTTTCCTTCAAAGTTATCTTCGTCATTTTCCTAGGTTAGGCCACAGAACAGATTATTTACGAAATGGAAAACATGTAACGTGTTTCTATCGGGTTTTAGTATAAATCTACAAGCGTTCTATCACGAATGTCGTTCTCTGATTGGCTAGGCTACTCACTATCTATTCTGTTGTAGATAGTGAGTAGCGTAGCAGTGTGCGCTTGTTAACAAAATGACGGCTGCTTCTTTGCGTTTTCGAAGTGTCTGTGAAGAGGATTTTGATAAAGATTTGAATGACTAGTAGATTTATACTAAAACAATTCGAATATTCACTCTCGATTTCCATGCGCGATAGTTGACGAGGGCGCAATATCACGCGAGAGAAACCTCGATCTCATAATCTAATTGTTTAATAGAAACACGATTTTAAACTAATCAGCGCGCGTGTTTTCTTTGGGCTATTTTCTAATTAACAATTAGATTATTCGCTTTCGATTTCTATGAGGTGATAGTTAATTATCACCTCATAGATATCGAAAGCGAATAATCTAATTGTTTTAGTAGAATTCTAACTGAAATTAACGCAAATAACGGTTTCTAATTATTTTTCTCCGCATTATTGAACTTCAGGCTTTAACAAAATCGCACGTATTCAATTGTCTTTGGTAATTTTGCAGTTGTTTACGCACGCACACCCGATTTTTCAATAATTTCAAGTTTTTAAAGTCAAGAAACCGTCAATTTCCTTTTTAGTCGTCTCAGGAATTTAATTATCTATTTACATCTAAACTTTCTTCCAAAACTTCGGAAAAACGATAAAAAAGTCGCACTTCGTGGACGATCGACAGCTACTGCACTCCAATGGCTGATAGTATACGAGTAGCTTAGCCAATCAGATTGCAGCATTTGCATTGGTATGCTAGTAGAATTCTACTAATTTCTATTAGAATACAGCTGGTGTATACTCGCTTTTGGAGCTGATCATGACTTTCGAGCAAAAGAGAGACTTCTTGAAGTCCATTTCCAATTGTATCTCTACGTAGTAATAAACTTTGAGCTGAAGTAAAATCGAACGCGGACTGAATTCTTTTGAAACTTGAAGATGTGTACGTGCGCTCATCTGTGTTTTTTTCTCTCAGTGGACGACACCGTACATTTCTAATTTATCTTACTGGCCAATCAAAAATAAAAGCATGTTAGATTTCACATTATTAAGAACTACGGTAATTATTATTATCAACAGTATCAACAAGTAACAATAATTAGTAAATTACATTGATCAATTAATTATTAATTTCCTTGTTAGTTATTACCAATTAATTATTAATAATAATTATACTAATTATAATTCAAATAATTATAATTATAATAATTATAATTGTTATAATTATTATAATTGTTATAATTATACTTATAATTATTATTAATAATTATTAATTAAT